CAAAGGGCTGACCAGCCTCGGCAAGGAATGAGAGTGAACTTTTAATTTCTGGAAGGCAGCCTCAGCATCCGGCCCCCATTCAAACCTTGCCTTTTTCTTAATTGCCTGGAAAAAGTATAGGCATTTGTCGCCTGATCGGCTTAGAAATCTTCCCAAGGCCGCCAGACAACCTGTTAACTTCTGAACCTCTCGGATGGTACGAGGCGACTGCATGTCGATGACCGCCTGCACCTTCTCAGGGTTCGCTTCTATTCCTCTCTGATTGATAAGGAATCCGAGAAATTTCCCAGACTCAACTCCAAATACACATTTCTTGGGATTGAGCATGACATGGTGCCGCCTGAGTGTGGCGAAAGTTTCTCGGAGGTCCGTCAGATGATCTTTCTGAAGTTTAGTCTTGACAATCATATCATCAATATATGCCTCGACGTTTCTCCCAATCTGATCAAAGAACACAGTGTTTATCATTCGTTGGAAGGTAGCCGGGGCATTCTTAAGACCAAACGGCATGACCGTGTAACAGTATAACCCCTGATCAGTGACGAAGGCCGTCTTCTCCTGATCTTTCTTCCATAAGGGAATTTGATGGAAACCAGAATAGGCGTCCATGAAACTCATCAAGGCATGGCCGGCTGTTGAGTCGACCAGGTTATCAATTTTAGGCAGAGGGTAACTGTCTTTGGGGCACGCCTTGTTTAAGTCTGTGTAGTCTACACACATTCGCCAGGTGCCATTCGGCTTTTTAACAAGCACCACATTTGCAACCCAGTCTGGGAAGTAACATTGCCGAATGAACCCTGCATCAAGTAATTTTTTAACTTCGGCGGCTGCCGCCTGACTTCTTTCTTCGCCATGGTTCCGCTTCTTTTGCCGTACCGGCTTCTTTTTCGGATCCACAGCGAGTTTATGTACCGCCAGATCAGGACTAATGCCTGGCATTTCATGGACTTCAAATGCAAAGATGTCCTTGTATTCTTTCAATAGGTTGTGAAAGTCGTCACCAAGGTTTCTCAGAGCAGTCGTCCCAACTTTGACTGTTCGGTCAGGACGTGAGTCGTCTAAGACCAGGTCCGCATGCTCACCAGCCGGCTGAGGGCGGAACTCATCCGGCCGCTCCTCTGCCAATGATTGCTATTTTCTCGCTTTTCTTGCGGACTCTGTCTGGGACGCCTTTCTCTTTTTGCCGCCTGCTTCTTGAACAGGCGCACTCTCCTTGACATTGTCAAGGTCTGTTTTTTCTCCACTTGACCCAGTGGCCATAACAGTGGGCTTGACATCCGAGAGATAGCACTCTCGGGCCATCCTCTGATCTCCCCTTAGGGAGCCGACTGTTCCATTATCCCTCTCAAACTTGAGCAACATAAGAGACGGGATTATAACAGCCTTGGAATTGTTCAGGGTTGGTCGACCCAGAATCATGTTGTAGGCCGAGAGTTCCTCTACTACTAGGAACCGGACTACCATGTGTCGTCCTTCCCCTTTTTCGCCCAGGCGAATGGGTAAATCTACTCGTCCCAGGGGTGGACGACTCCTCCTCCAAACCCTATTAAAGGGTGGGAGGCCGGATGTATGCTGTCAGTCTGATATTTCAGTTTCGACAGACATTTGCTGCTGATGAGATCTGAGGAGCTCCCGATATCTATGAGGATTCGGCCAACTCTCTGGTTGGCCACTTTACATTCAATAACAAGAGGGTCGTCATGCGGCCCCCTTACCCCTCCTAGATCCTCTTCAGTGATGACAATCTCAGGAAATGTATATTTGGACGGCCGTTCTTGGTGAACGGAATTTACATCTAACCGCCTTATATTATCTTTGTTGCCCCTAATAGTGGGGCCGCCTCCTGAGAAGCCGCCTGCAATGGTGTAGACGACTGCATCATCTGTATCGGAGCTGTCGGCCTGTTGATTCTTTTTGGCCGACAGCTTTCTTGAGGAAGTGTTCCCCGTAGATTTTTTGACATAAGTGTCAAGATCACCTTGCTCAGCCAGGCGGTCTAGGTACCGCATGAGACTGATGCAATCATTGGTGTGATGACCAACGTCATCATGATAAGCAAAGATTTTATCTTGGTTCCGGTTGTTTGCAGAACCCTTCATGGGGACCGGCTTCTCAATTGAGATCCGTCCCTTTATTTCTTTTAGGATAAACTGGTTATCCTTGTTAAACACATACTTTGGGGAGTATGGTTTGAATTCTTTTTTCTTTTTCTGGGCCGGCTGTTTAGAGGAATCAGCCGCCCAGACCTCTTTTCTTTTCTCATCTTTGTTAGACGACTGTTTCTGTCGTCCTTCTCTTTTGTCGAACCTTTTCCCGTCCGACTGTTTTATCGTACACAGATCAGTCGCCTGTATATAGGCTTCTGCTTCAATCAAGGCCTCTTGAAGAGTCGCCACCCTTTTTCGAACCAAATCAAATTTGAAGGTAGACCCGTCTTTGAGACCTCTAAAAAAGTCGGTATAAGCTACCTCATCCGGTAACCCTTGAATCTGTATTCTCATCAGGTTGAACCGCCTGATGTAAGAACGAAGCCCCTCCTTCTCGCCCTGCTGAATTGTTCCCAAATCAAGGGTCGTTTTCTTCGCAGGGATGTTCATGGCGAAGTTGGAGGAAAACAAGTAAGCAAGCGTCCTGAAGCTATTTACACAACCAGTCGGCAGGTTGCCGAACCATTGCTGTGCGATTCCCTTGAGAGTCGCTGGGAAACACTTGCACCAAATGGGATCATCCAACCCTTGAAGGTACATCAGGTTGGTGAATGCCATCAGATGGTCTTCTGGGTTAGTAGTGCCGTCATAGGCGCCTACTAGTACATTTTTTACTTTGGCCGGCTGAGCGGCTTCAGTAATTTCCTTGGAGAAGGCCGACGGCTGTTCACCAAGTCTAAGCAACCGTAGCTGCCAGTCCATAGGTTGGACGTTTTTTGCTGCAGGTCCACCAAATGGAGGTGGCTGCATAAAATACTGTTGTTGCGGCACAAATGGTAAGTTTGGTACCGCCTGGGCACTATGAAAGCCGGACAGACGGGAGGTGCCGCCTGACTGACTCTCATGGTACGACTGAGTATGCCTCATCGAGGCATTTCGCAAACTGTCTTGAAAGTCTGAAGTAGAAGCCGACTCTGACAATCGGTCACTCTTCTTCTGCTCTAGCAGTAGCCGAGCATCCGTGAATGTTTGCTTTGACCCGTCCGCCTGAATATGACGAACCGGTTTCCTATTTCCTGTAGGATAACGGAATTTTGTGAAATCAAGAACAGGTGGCTCCCGCTTCCTAGATTTAGGATGAGGAGTCGCCTCTCGCCCTTGAACTGGCTTCCTCTTCTGTGAAGTGGAAGGTTTCTTGGCCGACTGCTCCTTGACTGAAGCAGGCGGCTTCTTGTTGATCAACTCTTGAATCTCTCCCTTGAAGTCCCTCATGAAGGTCATGAGTTCGTTTCTTGTGATGGGAGCAGACCCATCAGTCGGCTGTTGCCGAGCAGGCGGTGCGCCTGCTGGCTCGCTTCCTGTTTGAAGATGCTCCCGTTCCCTCTTTTCGGTATGACGGGTACGTCGGGCCCTTAGGGTCCCGTCTGGAGCTGTATGAGTTTCAACTTCAAATTCACTTTCGGTGTCATGGTCCGACTGAACTTGAGGGTCGTTTAGGGGACGCCTCTCTTCAGGAGTCGGTACAGACTTGGATGCCATCTCTGAAGTACTCTCCCCACAGATGGCGCCAAATGTTTCGGGGTTTTCTGATGTCCTGCGGGAGAGTTACAATTCCGAGACTGGAACCGGACGCCTGTACCTGCAAAATAACGGAGACTCCTGAGAGCTCCGCCTCCAACGGTCAAGTTAGTACCTGATTAAGGAGTAATTAATACGGAAATTAAAGTAATAAGATCTCTCTAGGTGAGAGTGTTTAATGTTGGTAATCTGCTTTGTTAGCGAGATTAGCCGGTTATTAGTGTCTTCCGTAACGTTTCTGTTCTGTTCCGTTCTTCAGGTGAGATTAATTGCTTCTTCCTTTAATGAGGATTAATTAAGTATTTATAGTCTTGAGAAGCGTGCCACTCTCTAGGTTTAGGGTAAACCTAGGGCTGACCGGGCCTCTAGACAGGATTGGGCCTTGTTGGCCGGTTTTCCCATTTGGCATGGGTGGACACGTGGCGTGTCTCAATTGGTCCGTAGAGGACGTATCTGTGATTGACACGTGGCAGGCTCCTATTGGCCTACGTGAAGGACACGTGGCGGAACCTGGTTGGTCCACTTGTCAAACGGTGATTGGTGGATAAAAATCCCCTAATCAAGTGCCCCTTTTGTGAGTTGGAGGATGAGACCCTGAACCACCTGTTCAATGAATGTGAAATTGTAAAAAGAATCTGGGCTTGCAATCAACTAGGCATTCAGATGGGGGATAGGAGCATACAAGTGGAGACTTGGATGCTGAATATACTGTCCTACGCCATGAAGAATTCCCCAAAAGATTATGCAGTCGTAGAAAAGACCATAGCCATCATATGGGGCATATGGATTCACATGAATGATATAATCTTTAGAGAAGCCAAACCAAACCCAAGTAGGTTGATGAGCATCATAGAGCATGCAGGGCTAATGTGTGGAGCAACTTCATCCCAACTAGGTGAAGATGCAGAGGAAAAGCGTGCAGAGAAGCCCGCATAACAGTTCTGGTCTAGGGGATAGCACGATGAAGGACAATTGATTGTGGTGACACTGGATGGTTCGTGGAAGTCAGCTAGTGAGGGATTGGATGCTGTGGCGGTTGGATGGGTAATCACAAGGCGTGACATCATGGTAGGAGAAGAGATTGAGGTGGTCGCAGGAGGAAGTGCGCTGCAGTGCGAGCTCCTAGCAATCAGGAAAGGGATAGAATAGGGTATTCAGGCCGATGTCCAGATATATCGAGATAAGAACGGACAACAGAAGCAGCGTCCAATTCATTCAAGATAAAGCAAAAGCACCTAAGGAGTACAAGAACATTATCAGGAAAATTATATCCTTGGTTGATAGCCTATATTATGTTTGCTTTTGTCAAGTACTTAGGAGAATAGTAGACAAGGCCCACAATCTAGCAATCATTGTTAGAAAGGGCCTTGGGTAGCTTTGAGCTTTGTTTCCCCTTTGCCAAAAAAAAAAAATCAATTTCCAGTGCTTTGAGAGGTGATTGTTTACAGTATTTCCTTTAAAAAAATACCAAAAAAAAAAAAAAAGTTGCATCGCATAGACTTCATGTACTAGTAACAATCCTACTTCGTAAATTTTGTACAAGGCCTAGTGTTGTGATTAGCCACGTGGGTATTAAATGAAAGACGGAGTATCCATCAAAACAATCAGATCCCGGTGTAGAAACGTTTAACCGTTGTAGGCTAGAATGGAGGGAGTACTTATAATCTTTTATGTCTTGTTATAAAGAACCCCTTAAACCCTTAAACCCAGAAAATCGAAAGTGATTCTTCGAACTTTCAAGTCTCAAATCTTCTCCTTCATTCACTTATCAATTACAAGTATCACGCTTTTCCCTTCTCTGTATAATTCTCAAGAAATATATGGAGCCACATACATCATTGATAAAACAAATCGAATCCTTTGTTGATTCTTCAGCCACCTCTGCTCAACAGGTCCAATTTCTTCAATTTTAGCTTTATAATTTCATTTATAGTTAATCAAAATTTGAACCTCAATTTCCCAATTTTACAACTTTCTTTGCAGATTGCAAGTGTGAATTCAATTGTTTCTCTGTTGAAGAATGACTCAATTACAATGGAGTTTTTGGTAAATTTTTTGCTAATTTGTAACTACATCAATTTTTTCTTCGTTAATTTTTAACAAATTTCCGGGTTTTATATTAAATTCATTGCATTCTCTGTATTTCTAATTTGGGTGACATTAGGTTAAGGAAATGGAGCTGTATTTGACCACCACTGACCATATTCTTCGTGCAAGAGGTACTGTTTTCGTTCTTAAACTTTGAATTTAATTATATGTGTCACATCCATTTATAATAAGATTAGTTCTTCCCTTTTGTTTATTTGTTGCTGATGTTTGTCTTTCTAGTAAATGGTGAATAAGAAATATTGGTGTTAAATTTTCTAGCTTAATATCATGAGAAAATTTTAGTTAGGTTATTGCTTGTAAGGGGAACTCGAGTCGATGTTTTGTACTCACTTGAGATTTCTTTTTGTGCACAATTGAGATTCTTGGTAGCATGAATGTCAGGAAACCATGTTTATGAGGTAGTTGTATAGATGCTAACAGATGATATGTGCATATGTGTTGTTAGTGGATGCTATTGGGAGTGGGGCGGCACAGTGGTAGTTGCAAGGTGAGGATACCAGCGAAGGTTTTATAATTTTTTTAGTTGAGGGTATTGTTTGTAGTTTAGGTAGGGATGTCAATGGGGCGAGGCAGGGCGGGGCGGATGTTGGCCTTCCCATCCGCATCCCCACCTAAAATTTCATCCCCATCCCCATCCTTGCGGCGGGTCCAAAATTCATCCTCATCCCCGCCCGGGCGGGTACAATTCCAAAACCATCCCCGCCTCATCCCCCGCTTGGATATCCATCCCCACTAAGACCCGCCTAATTCCCACCTCTCATTATACAATCCAACAAAATTATATAGATTACCAAAAAAAAAAAAAAAAAATTGTTAATATTACACACTTTTTTAGTTATAATATTACTGTATTACAAATTATTATATCTACTATTTTATTTTACATAATTTTTTTGTTATAAAATAGTATAAAAGTATATAATTTTGTTTTTAAAAATATATAGATGTGGGTGTGAGGTGGGGATGAGGCGGGGTGCGAAGTGGGGCGGGTACAATGTAAAATCCACCCCCGCCCCATCACCCATGGTGGGCCACCACCAACCAAATCAAGACCCATCCTAAGTTTAGGGGGTTATGCTTTTGTAATTTTTTTCAGCAATTAGCAATCATTTTTGGTTTAGGACAAGGAATTGGCACGTTCGAGCTATTAAGGGGTACCTCCGTACCTGTGTTATTGATGCCCAATATAATGCATAACTATAATGCATCGATACACTGAATCATTTTTTCTGACAAAATAGGTAGAAGTTGTCAAGGGGCTGAAGAAACATAGATGAGAAGCTGTGAAAGTTATGCTAGAATGATGCTAGATAGTCATTGATAAAAAATAAAATAAAAGAGAGATTAGATCTTCATGATGGTCAGCTTGATTTTACTTGTATTTGACAATCAATCCCAAGCATAACAAGCTGATTATCCTGTTTTCTCATGTATGATTGATATAATATTATCCTGTTTGCCAATTGTGATATCATGTTGAAATTAAATGAGCCTCGAGAAAGCCAATTTTGAGCTGATTCTTGAACTACTCCACTATTTACTACTTCGTATTTAATAGGAGAACTACATGGCTTAATTCCTAGTTTCCTACTACGTATTTCTTGCTTTCATGCAACTCTGACAAGTGTATTTACTGGTATTTAACCAAAATAACATACTTCCTCCTCCTTTTTTTTTTTTTTTTTTTTTTTTTAGTTGCAACACTTTTATTTTCACGGTTTCCTAAGCAATTTTTGAAGAGGAGAAAGATAGAGAGAAAAATAAGAGGGACCCATGTGGGTAGGAGAGAGATAGAGAGAAAGAAATGTTTAAAATGGAAAGTTTTGCAAGTAATTAGCAATTTCCAAAATAGGAAAGTGTTGCAACTAAAAAGAAACGGAGGAAGTATTAAAGAAACAAACATGCATTGTGGTGAAGTTGAACAGGCAGCATTGTACATTCTCAACTACATTTATTTGCATGCTTTTATAGCTGAGTTACCAATTATGAGAGCTGTACATAGTTCTTTGACAGGTCACGACATGAACCAAACACGGCGTTTATTTATTTATTTATATTTTATTTTTTAATTAATTTTTTTTTCTTCTGTGGTGGGAGTATAATAGGATTTATGTCACCTGAAATCCTGAATAGTAGGCGGTTTTGCAAAGTCAATGATTCTGTACTCTGTAGTATTTTTATACTGTTATATGTTTTGTTTCTGCTGCTCTCATTGAACTGTTTGATTCATGTGTGATCAGTGGTTGCTTGTTTCTTTATAGGTATACTTCTCCTTGCAGAAGTGCTTGGGCATCTTCAAACAAAGCCGCTAGATAGAACTACTATACACACCTTAGTAGGATTCTTCAGTGAGAGACTGGTAAGGCTGCAACTCCTTATGAATTTTATTTAATTGGGGGAGATAATTTTGTCTTTTTGCTGTTGTCATCTAGTGATGAAGTTTCTTATGCATTCCCTTTTATTTATTTTTAAATATTGAGTATATTTTGAGAGCAAAGTAAGTTTTCTATTAATTGTAATCTAAAACTTGGCTTCCTCTTTCTTTGTTTTTACTTTTTTGCTAATATTTTTCTTTTAAATGCTTTAGATCAAAGCTTGGCGTGTTAAATTTCATACATCAATTTATTTTGACATTATCATCTCTCAAATAAACAATGGTCTGTGCATCTTCTAATATATAGTCTATTGAGAGGTAAATGATAAACAATGGTTGTGACTTGTGGGCTCTTGTAAAAGAGAATACTCCCTTCAATCCTAATTGAATAGAGACATCTGAAAGTAGTCAAACCTTGCTAAATATATATTATGCAGCTATAATATTTTTTTCTATCATTACTCAACATTTTTTAAAAAGTAAATCAATGGTCTAGGTTAATGAGTTTTAACCATCAAATAAAATTGTTCTATAATATTGGGATGAAGTTAGTAAAATATCTATTTTGTTTTTGTAATGTGATGTATGATACTAAATTTCATTAGGCAGATTGGAGAGCATTACGTGGAGCACTTGTTGGTTGTCTGGCCCTTGTGAGAAGAAAATTTAATGCAGGTGTGATCACTGGAACTGATGCTAAGATTTTGGCCCAGTCCTTTTTGGAAAACTTACAGGTGCAATCTCTGGGACAACATGACAGGAAGGTATGATGTGACAAGGTACCTTATGTGAATAATGTTTTTAGTAAGTAGTAACAATGTTGGAAAAGATTTTTCTTGTTTGCGGCATTGATTCATGTTCATTTTGTTTGTTCTTGTTGAAGCATTGGACACATAGCTCTAGCTTATCTTTGATGTTATTGCTGCAGCTGTGCTTTGAATTTCTAGAAGGCCTTCTTAATCGTTACCCAGAATCGATTTCCACACTGGTATGTTGTTTAATCCTTTGTACAAATCCCGTTTCAGGTCTTTCTCAAGTAAGTTCTATCAGTAATAATTGATTAGCTAGCACTATCTACTATTACTAATGCTTTGATCTGAAATCTTGTTAGTTGCTTTTTGGGAATTTTTTTATGTGGCATTGTGGCTGTTGTGTCATTCATGTGCACTTTGTGTTGATGGAATCCTCCAATCTTGTTCTACTATAGTACTATCATTGTTGTCTCTATATTTCATGCTGTTATAATATCTACTGTCCACCTCACTGTCGTGGTTTTGATATTACACGCCTGTGTTATATAGTTTTCACAAGTGTCTCTGAATTTATACTTTTGGGCCTTTGGCTCATTGATTTGCATATATAAGGTTTTGAATATGCATGCTGATTTCATCTGCAATGTTTCTCAACTTTTAGAGCTTAAAAATCATCCTTAACGAGCTTCACTTATACTTTAGGGTGACCACGTTGTTTATGGTGTCTGTGAAGCCATCGAAGGAGAAAAAGATCCTCAGTGCTTGATGCATGTTTTCCATATTGTGGAGGGTCTGGCACAAATTTTTCCTGATCCTTCTGGACCTGTAGCTAATTTTGCTGAGGACTTCTTTGATATTATTGGCCGTTATTTTCCTATCCACTACACACATGTAAGTTTGATAACTTGAATACTTGATATATCTTTTCACTGTTTTTAAATATTCCATCTATCTAATTATTGCTCCCTATAGACGGGCCTACTTTCTTCACTTAGCGATCTGTTTCCTTTGCTGCTGTGAGGCCAATACCCTTGTTTATCTTTTTGTCTGAGACAGAGCTTTTACATCTTCTCTGTGATTTGAAGTTCTCAGATTAATTTTCCTACTTTATATTGTTTTGGGTGCATTCTCATCCAGCCAAAGAGTGAAGATGTTGATATCAGCAGAGAGGACCTTTCAAGGGCTTTGATGGTATGCAATTTCTTGCGTGCTTTGTTCAATTGAATATGTTCGTGAGCAGTATTTCTGTATCAAGCGCATTCGTTTCCGGTTGCGAATATAGGTTTATGAATGCTTGGAGTCAGTGAACTGGACTTCATTAATTTTAAAGCCTCATAATTCTAACTAGTTGTTGTCTGAAGTATTCTGAGTTTGCATTATGGGGAGGTTGGGTTGTTTCCTTAAAAATAGTGGAGATTTAACTATTACAACAATGTGTAAAAAAGTATGTCTTGTGTTACAAATTGCCAGTACATCTTTTCAAACTAAGATATATCTGTTCACTAATGATTCAAAATTATGTTTTAGGCCTCTGTTTCACCGAGTCTACTTTTCAAAAATCCTCGTCTATCCCGTTCCCTGAACATCCTGATGTGAAAGTTGTTACCAGAGCAGATCTAAGTTACAAAGAGGTTTCTACCTCCAAGACGATAGTGTCTTTAGTTACCAGTTGAACCTGGATGTCTTCCCTAACAAGGGGAGCTGGTCTTGTTAGCATGCATTTTTTGTTCTGTATGTTCTCATTGCTAATGGTGCCTGCCTGAGGTTCCAGAAAGGTCTTATTTTCCAGTTATGCTTGATCTGATCTCTGGTGCAACCTGATTATGTGTGTGTATATAAATATATGAGCTGTGAAGTCTAGTTGGATCCACAATTAAAGGGAATGAACTGCAGGAGAGTTGTGTAAAAAGTTTTACTTTAACTATAATGCTATACAGCCTGTTCTATAACTATTCTCAATTCTCAAAGAATAAGGTGTGGTGTTCTGTAAGGATGCTATTGGTGCTTGGAATGTTGGTGCCAAGGGTGTGCCATTTTGGCCAACCTAATTATATGAAGGTCCACTGGTCCATCTGACTGGTTGCAAGGGGTTTGGTACTTAAGGGTTTTGACTATACCATTATTATTTGTTTTAGGAATTAACACAAACTTACATGGGCTTCAAGATCCATAATATTACAATAATTTTGTCTTCTGTTGCTTTTGAATCTTTTGTTGTCTTTGAATTTCAATTTCAAATTTTCATCCTTCTAATTTTTTGAATATTCAGATGGCATTTTCTGCTTCACCCTTTTTTGAGCCATTTGCCGTTCCCTTGCTTCTGGAGAAGCTTTCTTCTAATCTGCCTCTCGCAAAGGTTGGTAATGAATACAGTTACATATGTGCCTCGGTGCAGCTACTTTAAGAATTTGGTACTTTATTGCTTTTCCTGAGCTAGATTTAATGTCAACAGATTGATTCACTAAAATATCTAAGCGACTGCACTATAAAGTACGGGCCTGATAGAATAGCAAAGCATGCTGAAGCTATATGGAACTCTTTGAAAGCTGCAATATGTAATTTGCCTAGAGGCTCAAGAGAAGATGTTTCATCCTTTGCTTCAGATTTATCAAATGGTATGAGCTTTGAAGAGAATGAAATTACAAAAGAAGCACTAAATCTTCTGCAAAAGGTTGCCTCACAACAGAACAGTGGCTTCCTGAACTTAGTTCTTAAAGATAGGGACATAAACAACCTTATCAACTCATTTACTGCTTCTGGAAGTTCCGATTCTATTCCACCACAGAATGAGCAGGAACTTTGTTTTGTTGGTCGTATTTTCTCTGTTTTGGCAAAAGCATCAACATCTTCATGCAATATGGTGTTTGATACTCTCTTCCTCCATTTACTGGACAATCTCAGGGTTCCGGCTAATACTGATAAAAAAGATGTGCTAGCTATAGATTCTGATTCTCCTTGCCAGAAATTGAATTTCAGTGCCCTTTATCTTTGCGTCGAAATCCTTGGTGCATGTAGAGTGTTGGCTGTTGCTTCTGTTCAAATCAGCTCAAGTTCAAATTTTGTCAATGATGCGTGGTGCCAGAAGCTTGTTGGATGTTCTAGTTCATTGATGAAGGAAATGGTCTCTGATTTGGTACCAAGTACAAACAAGATCTATCATGAAGCATATATTTCTATTAAAGGTTAGTGCTTTGGCTTCATGATGCTTCTTTAATATCATGGGATGACTATTTAATTTTTCGAGAGTACACATAAAAACAAAAGGTGGCTGTATGTTCTACCTTTATCTTATTCATACCTATACTCCCCCATACCTGCCGGACACCATTCATCTGTCCCTTCTTCATATATCCTTTTTCTTTCCGTCCACCAGGAGGGTTTGAGTATTATGATAAAGGAACTTGAAAGGGAATCTTTTTTTTTTTTTTAGCAAAAGTCGAATATGAAGAATGTTTTCAGATTAAGTTCTACTGATTAATAATTTGTGTGCAGTTTTGGATTAAGTTTTACTGATTTAAAATTTTGTGTGCCGTATTTTCATGTTCTTTTCTGAAGAGATTCCTCATCAGACACAATATAAAATGAAATGTCCATTCTAAATTCATTGTTGAATTTTCTCTGGATAATCTACTTACAGGGCCTGTTCTCTGTCGGCAGAATAACCTTGCCAAACGCTACCTGTAACTGTTTTGTACCAACTTTTGAGAGATAACAATCTTTAATACATTTTGTTTATGAGTTCTGATAACTTGTTTGCACTTTTGTTTCAAATTTTGTCGTAATAAGGCTAAAGGTTAATTATTGCATGGACTATGGATGTGGAATCTGAGGCCATTTTATTCTTATCCATATTTATTTATACTTGTTATAATGTGTTGCAGTGAAAGGTCTTCAGATTCTGGCTACATTCCCTGGAGATTCTGCTCCAGTGTCAAAATCATTGTTTGAGAATATTGTGGTTACATTGGTATCAATTGCCACTAATAATTTTGATGTGACTGCACTATGGAAAGCATCGATAAATGCACTAACAGAAATTGGTACATTTCTGAATGAATACCATTGTTCTGAGAAGTTGCTGGGCTTCATGTCTACTGCTGTTGAGAGGATGATTGTGTTGATCTCACTGGATGATTCCACAATGCCTTATTCTCTACTTTTAGAAGCACTATCTAAAATTAGTGCTAGTGGGTATACGTTTCTGTTGAGAATTGTTCAAGAATGGCAAGAAGCTATGTCTGCCAAGTTTGCTAAAGTCTATGTATGTTTTTATACCTTTTGTTATCTGTTCTACTTGCTGCATCATTTTATATTATGGACTTCCTCCCTGTTTTCCATTGTGGTTTCCACAAATACTTTTGGCACCAATTTAATGGAAGTGAATAGTAGAGAGGAGAAATTCAGTTGGTAGGTGTAGTACCCAACTTTGACAAAAAAAATTGTTGTGATAGAAGGGTTACTAAAAATGTCATGTTGCTGCTAAACTTGTACACCTAAAAAGCATTTGACAAAGGAATTGGGACAGAGGGAGTACATCTGTGTATTCTAGCAATTGCGCAAATCCTTGCCTTGATCATGCATTTACAGAAGTGGTAATGTTACTTTGGCTTTTTCTTTAATAGGTTGATGGCGATGTGAAACTGAGTGCAGAACTGGTCCAGCTTTTGGATTGCTACTCTAAGAACTTGCTTCCACGGTATTTACTAACTAGAAAAATACTCCATCCATCTCACCAAAAGCTCATTGTATCTATTTAGCTCTCTCTGTAATATAAAGGAATCTCATTCAGTTCACGTTCCTTGTATACACTATGATAACTGACTAAATGGGTATTAGCTAAAATCAGTTCAGCAATTATCTTGAATATGATTAAAAGATCAACTGTAACACTTCCAAAGGGACAAATCACCGTAAAAAAAATTTCTACAATGAAGATAATTTAGTTGCCCATCATTCCATATATTCTTCTATTTGACCCCCCATTGATTCTTGTTTACCTATGATTTTGCTATCACTCATTGATGCTAGTCGTTTACCTGAGGACAATGGCCTAATAAGTAGAAATTGTTGACTTGAATTATTGTCCATGTGGGCTTAGGTTTCACTTGTGTGAGGGCTCTGAAATTGTTCCATTCCGCTTAGCCATTGATGTTTGGGATCAAATTGAAGCAGCCATGGGAAGCAGTTTTTGTGTTGAAGGAAAGGTAAGTAAATAAGTTCATTTTAAAGCCTTTTATTGTGGTCTTAACTCTCAGCATATAGGCTCCATCTATTTTTTGTAACTAAACTCTATATTCTCTATGATATGGGAACTAAAATTTTCTAATGGCTTAGCAGCTTCTCGATGCAACAAAGATGGCATTAAAGCTAGCTGTTGCTATGTTGTCAGAGGAAAATCAATGGCGAATCATCGAGAAAGCTTTTAAAGTGATTTCATTCCACTTATCTTTCTCACCCTACTTTGTGCCTTCCAAGCTTAAAGAGTTGCAAATATCAGAAGATTCAGATGGTTTCACATGTAGAGATGAGTGGCTTACTACATTGTTTGCATCTGTAATTATTGCACTTCGCCCTAAGACACAAATTACTAACATAAGAGCTGTTATTGAGTCATTGCTGACAGCTTTCATAAGTGGTCATGTGACATCAGCTCAAGCATTGGGTTCAATTGTCAATAAAATGTCTCTAGCGAAAGAAGACACGCAGGACTCTAGCTACTTTTACCTGGATGATGTTCTGACTTTGATTTTAGAAAGGAGCTTGGGAAGTTGTAGTGATCTTTTTCTTTCTAGTAGCTCTGAGATTTGTGATTCTGATGAGCTTCGTTCTAAATTAGTTGATTGTGTACTGCCTCAAGCCCATTGTATCTCTGGTCTTGCATGGATAGGGAAAGGGCTGCTAATGAGGGGGCATGAAAAGTTAAAAGACATAACTATGATTTTCTTGAGATGTTTAGTTTTAAGCAGTGAATTAGATACCTTAGCTGAAAATATAGGTGGGTTAGAGAGAGAGGTGGTGCAGCAATCGTTGGCGAGGTCTGCAGCAGATGCGTTTCATGTTCTTATGAGCGATTCTGAGGATTGTTTGAATAAAACATTTCATGCTACTATAAGGCCTCTACACAAGCAACGGTTTTTCTCTACTGTGATGCCAATTCTGCTGTCTGCTGCGAAAAAGACCCATTCCCCTACAGTGAGGTACCCAAAATAAAGCTCTTGAATTCTTGATTCTTACAATTACATCACCTATGAAGTTCATCCCTTAATATGTATTCTGACTGTTGATTCTATAATGTCTATCAATTCTACAAGTGAGCTATTTTCATGCATGTTCAAGCTGTGTTGTCCAGTAGGGTAGTTTCTTATGATTCTATTTTACAACTGACATTCTGAGAACTACCATATATGTTGCTTCGATCTGTATTTGGATTTATCTGCCATGAATTTAAGGCAGCACATATGCATAAATCTGTGATGTGTCATTGCAGCTAGGCCAACTTCCACATGTTTTAAATGCTTTGCTAGTGTCAAGTTTTATGTTATAATAATTCGTGTTATAGTCTTATAAACAGACATACTACTCTCTGCAATTTCAGATCTATGCTTTACCGGGCAATTGGACATGTTATCACTGATACACCTCTAGCAGCTGTCTTGTCAGAAACTAAGAAGGTCTTGGTCTCTGATTTTACTAAGCTGTTTCTTTTTTTTTTTTTTTTTTTTTTTTTTTTTTTTTTTTTTTTTTTTCTCTGTAGTAATGGATGCCTCAGGCTGTAACTGATCTTGTTTTTGACATTTTTGGCAGCTGCTTCCTCTGCTCTTGGATGTTATCTCTGTACTTAGTGAGGACATACTCAATAAAGATATGATCTACAATCTCTTGCTGGTTCTTTCTGGCCTTCTAATGGATAAGATTGGTATGTTATTCTACTTCACAGAATCATGATTTACTTTGTTGATAAAGTAGATGCAGTTTACAGCCTTACTAAGTCTAAATAATAGATTGAATGATTTTTTTTTTAAATTGATTAGAATGATTGAATGATTGTTAGCCAAAGTTTTGAAAAAATCACATTATTTTATGTTTTATTTTTTTGTTACTTTGCATCTATTAGCGGCCAAAGAGTATGAGGGAGGGATTGTCCTCAAGTAGAAAACAATACTCCTCCGTTTTTATTAGTTGACACATTTCTATTTAGCACACAAATTAAGGAGAAGTGGGAAAGAAAGGTTAAAGACAAAAATACCCTTTTACCTACCAACCATTATCAGTTATCGCCTAAGAGTATCTTTCTCTCTCATCATAACCACTCACCATCATTCTCTCTCCTCCTCAACTGCACCGTCTGCATCTCCATTCTTGATCATCTCACCTTCAAAAATCTCTCTCCTTTTTCTTTTAGCAATTAAAGATTTAAAACAAAAAAGCACAAATTAGCTGATTGAAAATGTCATAAATATATGATTGAAGGTTTTATCCTCTGTGGCGTAGGTAGTTTTGAGTGGCGGTGTTCGCGGAGGAGAAAGGAGAACTCGAGGGGGAGAGAGAGTTAGTGAGAGAGGGAGATGGTTGCGTCAGGAAAGAGAGGTGGTGTCAAGCAGGGGTCGGCAAGGTTGTGGTGTTTGGGCAAACGGTGTCGTGGTGGTGATTAGGCAGAATTACAGGAAGCTAGGAGAAGCTCTGGGGGCTTTTAATGGTGATTTATGTGGGAAATTGGGTATGTTATAAGGAAGAGAGGAGAGAGAAGTGCTGGTGGTGGTGGTTGTGATGTTGATAGTGATGGTGATGATTTTGATGATAGAGTTGGTGGAGTGGGGAAGATAATGGAGGAGTGAGAAATCAGATTCTTTGCTTAAGGGAGGAGATAGAAGATGAGTTGGGGAAATTGGTGAGGGTAAAAATGACATTTTAACATATAAAACTTGCCTAAAATAGAAACGTGTCAACTACTAACTCTGTTTCATATTATATTCAACAAATGAGCTTGCACGGACTCCTAGGCAAAATTTGTTTGAGTGTTGAATGGAGAGAGAGATAATGATGCATGTGATGAGGAGAGAGAGAGAGAGAGAGAGATGACAACTTAAAAAGGAAAGAAAAAAAAATTGTTGCACATAATGCGTAGCAATCATTTTTGGTAAATGTTGCACAAAATATGAAACGGAGGTAGTATTACAATTCCACCTAATTCCTGTAAATCTCTCCTATATTACAATCAAATAACTCTTAGTAGTCTCAGCTGCCTTAGCCCATGGCAACACTAGAGATGTTATTATATCCTACAAATGGTCATTCACTACACAATCATCGTAACAGCTTTGACCCACATCAACTTTTTTTCTCTTACCTGTTTATCTCCATACCCTGTAAAGAAAATCTGCTGCCAATATTTATAATTCAGGACAAACCCCCTATACTTGCTATGAAAACAAAGACTATTGTGACAATATTTGCTGTTAACTCAGAAAGCAGTAGATATCAGGTAAAATAGCCCACTTTGACTTGGAGCCTATCTTAGTATTAATCCTTCCCAACCCCATACTTCACTTGAAGGTTTATCATGTTTAGAGGAATCTTTGCCTTCCAGATGAAGTTTGCAATTGGAGAAGCTAATACCTATAGGATCTTGCTCAGCAGCATTGAAAAGACTTGTAAGTTGTAAGCATGGTACAAGTATATGACCGCTTTGTTCAATTAGGTCGTATTGTAAAGAGATTTCAATTGATGGTGCTGAAATTGTTTGGTTCAGTTAGTGGTGTTTTTTTCGAATTCCACAATATCATTCAAATCAAACATTCAAATCCGAGTTGAATATTACTTTATTATTCAAAGATATAGCTAAAAATGCCCCATGTCTCCCCTAATAATGGTTCAAGCCTCTAGTAGTCTACTATAACTACTACTGTAATAGCATACAGTTGATATAAAACCCTATAAAGGCTTTGAAATCAAATCGTATTGTGATGACCAAGATACAATCCGCGATCAACACATCAATTCTGTTTCCGTTACATCATGATTGTTCCCACGATTGCGACCAAAACAATTTTTTCAAACAATTTTTTAAGAAAAGCCCTTGAAGACACAATCCTACTTTCAGTATATTTGGACGTATTTAGTTTCTCCATTGTGGAAGTAAGAACACTTTGCAATTGAGTGGTGAGACTGAGAACAATACCTGTTAGCAAATTTCTGCTTAAATCTGCTTTAGTGATGCTGGAACCAAACTAATGATCTCAGGTTGCACATTGATTTAGTTTCCCCTTTTGAGATTATAAATAGTCGTACAAAATCAGTACTTTAGGTAAGATCATTGATAGTACTCATTTTTATCTAGAAGGAAATAACTGCAAGACATTTTTCTGAGCTTGCTATATTTTCTTTGAAAGTCTATTTTCAATAAGATATTAAATATTTTTTAATATTATTACTATTAGCTTCTGGATACCTAATGAATATATGTATTACACTTCTATCTTTTGCAGGACAAGACACTGCTGTTGAGAATGTCCATGTTATAATAAACTGCTTGACTGGACTTGTCTCTTATCCCCATAAGATGGTAATATATGTCACTTAGTAGCTTTCTTTTTTCATCTTTTTTGTTTTTTTACATTGTTTGGCATAACTAATTCTGCATGCCTTTATTTTAAATTAGGTATTCTCACCAAGTAGCTTTATACTTTAAGAATTCACAATACATTCCCAGTGTTAATTCATAAAGTACCCCTGAAGTAACTAAATTTACAGACAATTATACGCAAGTGCAGCTTGTTTTGTTCTTCTCTCTGCTTGACCTGTGGCTCTGAAGGCTGATGTTTCTAGTTTTCACGTATGTAATTCAGCTTGATTGTGATGAAGTAATTTACTAGTTCCTTCTGAATTTATGCAGCTTGTACGAGAAACTGCAGTACAGTGTCTTGTTGCTGTGTCAGGGATGCCTCATACAAGAATTTATCCAATGCGGTTACAGGTTAATATAACTTTCTATACCCAAAAAACATCTGTACCTTCCCTATAATGGTCAAGACAATTACTTTTTGGGAAGAACCTTATTTTGGTAGTTAATTTTGCTGCTTTTTTTTTTTTTTTTGGTAAAAGTAATAAAAATTTATGTACAAGGAGGTGTATGCTAGGATGTTCTGAGCAAAAATCATCATGCCCTCGGGTTATTGTGTGTAATCTGAGTCCTGACTGCATTTCCTATCACTGAACTGTCCGAAAATGTTCTGATGACTGGTGAATTGAAATTAGTTGTAAATTGAGAACTATCTGAAATACCCTTCCCTTGAGCCAATGTAATGCCAAAGAGATGGAATTGGTTAATGTTGGAATTTATGTTTGATAATTTAGGTGCTAAGAGCTTTGTCCAAGGTTCTTGATGATCCAAAGAGGAGTGTTCGCCAAGAAGCTGTCAGATGCCGGCAAGCATGGTCTGTATTATTTATATCGCTCTTACCATCTATATCGTAGTTGATCCCTCATAGATACTTCTCTTATTAAATTGTATTTTTGTTTAACAGGTCTTCACTCGCATGAAGAATTTGTTATTATTAAGACCAATAGGAGTTGCGTGGTAAGCTTTATAATTCTTCTTCGATAACCTTAGTATAGAACTCACTAAGGGAGTGGGTTAGATGTGTGCAGTGCTATCCTGATTTATATAGAGTGGTGCTGAGGCTGTTCTCAAAGTTTGGAGATAAGGGACTAAATGATAATGTTGAGCAATAAAAGGTACACTCTATAAGCATAAAAGTGACAGGAGTTGTATTAATGACCCGTAAAATATTCAGTAAAGACAACTATGGGCTAATAGAGTAGACACATGAAGGAAAAGGGTGGGGAGGAATTGCACATTGCATAGCCTCCTAGACTGAAAGAAAAGGGGGATATTTCTAATTGGGTTCAGGTGCAGACACAAGAGAGGAATTGGCAATTCATTGTACAGATTGTACACTAATGTGTTCTGCTTTTTTGTGTAGATCTTCTGTTATTTCCACCTAGCATGGGATAGTAATTTATCTTGGTGGAGGCTGTATCATGAGATGATGAGAAATCAGCAAGAAAAGCTGAACGAATTTAGAGGTATGATTGGTTTTTTTTTTTTTTTTTTTTTTTTTTTTTTTTTTTTTTTTTTGTCAATTACTCTCCTACAGGCTACAGTCCTACAATATATTTTCTCTATGGTGCATGTGGAACAGCCTTTTTAGTTTTTACTAGTCTTGAGACTTTTGACTAGCTAGGTACTACTGTATAACAGTTAATGTATAAATATTAATTTCCTCCCTTGTGATGCTCCCCATACCTAACAATGGTGACATTGCTGGCTTATGTACAAGGTCCTCGTTGCATTTATTACGTTTTGAAATAGTTTAGGGGACTAATTTGTTGAGGCTAATGATCATTCATTAGTGGTTGTTTCATTTAGTTAATTTCTGCTGAGTTAACCAATCTAATTTCATAATCTGTACATTATACAACCCCATTTCCAGCCCAGACACTAAAGTAGACCCAGAGTATCTGAAGCTTTGTACGTATATCTTTTGGGTTAATATAATTCTGTTGAGGGCTTCACTCTCTTGTCCAGTGTGCCCACCTGTTAAGGGTTTTGTATTTTGTTCTCATCACTTTTCACTGGGCATATCACTTTTCAGTTGACAAAATGGTTTATATCATGTTCTCATCTTTGGTTTGAAACATGATATGATAGGAAAGGAAGTGAAGTGATAGGAAAGCCCCTTTATAAAATTTTCACTTTCCTTCCTTTCCAAAATTGGAGAAATTTGAGAGAAGAGAATTAAAAGTCATCAATCATAATTACTCTCTTCTCTTCACACTCCCACTAAACCAAACAATGCAGGTACAATTTCTTTCCTTTCCCTTCTCTTCCTTTATGTCCCTATCACTTTCCTTTACTAATGTTATACCCAATGAAGCGTAAGGCTCATGGAAGTAATTTTTCTTCCCTATGATTAATGATCTTAATGGGTTCGAAATGCCTTAAATCTTCACTCTAGTTTTCTTGTCTTTATGTCTAGTGTGGCATATTCCTTGTCCTCTCTTGCTTTCCTTTTATACTTAATCATATGAGGGAATATGCGCTTTTTTAGTTGCTTTTGGAATTGCTGTATTTTTCCAATTTTTTTGTTGTGAAAAAAGAATTACTTATTAACTCGTGAAACATGTCTCTGCAGGTCTTCTGGAAACATCAGCTCAACTCACATCAGCTGATCAATGGGCGAGGTTGTGTAAATTTGAAACTGTGTAAATGTTTCATTGTCTTGTTACCTATCAGTATATGGTGTGAAACAAGTCCATTACATTTTGGCACTGATGATTAATGTGAAGTTACTATGACTTGTAGCTGCAAGATCAACCTCATTATTCATCATATTCTTTTTGTCGCGACTAATTTTAGAGTTGGCTTGAGTTTTCTTCCGTATGTAGGTACCACCTACACTTCTTTTCACTAGGGTGTAATGGCAATGAGGACTGGGAAGATTTTTAAAGATGTGTTTGTATTACTATATGAAGAAAGCATAAATGTAATCCTTAAGACGTTAATTATATCTTCTATCTTGTTCATGTTCTGGTTCTGTTTCAGAATTTAAAAAGGTGTCAAATATTTGAAATATGATTACAATTATATGCTTGGACTCAGGACCAGGAGTACAAGACATCCTCATCTACACCGGGATTACAAGACATCCTGAAGAATATATGCTCGTACACCTGGGTCTGAGAATCTAATTGGGATGTATGTTGTAGCCACTTGAGATCATTACAAACGTGGGACTTGTATTTTGTTATTGGGATAGGGGTTTTAATTGAAAATGCAAAACAAATGCTGCTGAAGTTCAGAGTTGAGAAATTAGTTAATATGGTATGAGATGTATTATTAGATCGCGTAATTCTTACAGCTTGTAGGCAAGTTGAACAATACAAAACTGAAATATTTGAATCATTCCAATTATACTATAAAAAGTTAAATACATATATTTCCTCTACAATCTACTCTGCTTTCAGCAGTACTCCAACTCCCGTCTTGTTGAAGCTACTGTGATGATCTAATCTAATGAAAAAGTTGAAAGTAAAAAGGAATGAACTACCAAAAAATCAAAGGATAAATAGCTACCAAAAATCTTTCAAATTAGCTAGTAGAAAAATTTGTTCTTGGATGACATACTACCTTGATCAACATTTGTGTTTACATGTCATTCGTGTCACTCAGACAAATAGTCATCCCCTCCACTGTAATGCCCCATTTGATCGTCCCCAGCATCCCCGACATCCATACGTTCTTGATCCTCTTCTTCAATATCAGATTCCGGTCTACTTGATCTTGAAGGACCGGATCTATAGTAAGAATCATTCTGAAAACATCACAGACAAAAATCCATCAGTAATTTAACTTCCCTGATCCCCACTACACAAGATTTGAGTTTAACATCATACCACTGATTCTTTCCTTTCAATGACAGAGGTAGTCTCCCTTCTCCTGACAGTAAGCTTGCCCGGTTGAACAAACTGTTCTCCATCTTCCTGGGACCTTCCCTCTTTTGACCTCCTTTTTCTCAGTGCAAGCTTTGTAGGAAGAGGCTGCAATGACAACAATAATTTTGCAATTTTAGAAGACCAATACGAGTACAACGCTCACAACAGTGGACGGTCTGTCTTTTATAAAAAGGTAGGGTAGGGAAAAGAAAGTTGAAAATACCAAGTAGCGAGCAGCATCTTCGTCAAATGACACCAAGTATGTTGAGAGTTCATCTGGGTCTTCTCCTTTGACCTGTATTGACCAAAAAAAAAATACCTTCAGTATTAATCCCAAATGGCTGAACACAAGACTTTAAAATGCTGCAAGAAAACAAATCATAGTACATACATCCCAATTATATTCTCGGACCCAGGAATACGAGACATCTTCATCTTCATCGAAGATGTCCTTTGATAGCTGTCAAAATCAACAAAGCTTGTCAGCAAAGTTTGCTAGATGTAAACCAGTGCAAGTGCAAACAGTACTGTCAATTTTATAATATACAAGTAGCTAATCACGTGATATCTACCTCATCCGTTGACGGGACCATGTATCCCAAAAATCGTTCAGGTTTATCAGGATCAGATCCTGTTGCCGTAAAACTTTTCATTACAGCCTGTAGCAATAGACAGAGCAGATCAGTTAAAATTGCATCACAGAATGTATAAGCTTGAGAAAAGAGTTAAAAAAAAAGTGAAAGAAGCAATGTATTACAAGCTAAAGTTCAATATATTAAAATAATAAGAATAATCATTAATTGAGCTGCCGATTAAGTAGTCTAGAAAATTACCTTTGATTCAATGTCCTTGCGAACAGATTTGTGCATTTTGCTGAACAACTCCGAGTCAGCTGTAGGTTCTCCATCAAAGTTGGCGACAACAAACTGGTCATCATAACTGTAGCATCATATGATGCATAAATCAGCAAGATACCTCAAACTCGCATGCAAACAAAAAACAGCTATTGTCTAATGTAGTAAACCAACAGTATAGGTAATACTACATAAAAAATGTTCCAAAGACAAAATAATACAGAGTACGGAGTAACAATAAAGAACAAATAAAAAATAAAAAAAAACATAATTGATGAGCCTAACAGATGGAATATCATACCGATCAAAATAAGGAAGCAATGGTAGAACTTCCACAGGCTTCAAGATTTTATTGGTAGCATGTACAGGACGTACTTTGCAAGCCTCAAATGATGCTTGGATTTCCTGAATTTGTCTTTCCCTGAAAAGAGGAAACAGAGGGTTGAGCAAAGAGTTACTGATTTAGATTGAATAAGTCCCTCAAACTTTGAAACAAAGGATACAATGAACCAAACCTATTGTTAAGATTTTGCAAATAGCTACGGCCTTCTCTCATTTCACGCAATTCTTTTGCTTGCTTTTCAGTTAAGGACTGCAGATATACATATATCAGTCAGTAAATGTCAAACTATGTTACTTAGGCGTCGTAAGACAGTTAGATCATGAGAAATAACCTGTTTCGTCCCATCATTGCTGAGAGCAGAAATATATTGTGTCTTAACAAGCCAAGAGACACCTTGATCACTGGGGCGTTCTTTTCTCTTAATTCCATCTCTCTTTAATGGAGTCACTTGCTCATCATCACGTAGCAATTCCTCATCTTCCGGAGCAAGAGGATACCTCTCTTTGAGAGGGCTAGAAGTTGACAGAAAAACCAAAATATAATTTATGAGTTAGTTGCTATATAGAAAAGCAAGTACAAGGAAATAGTCCAATGAACAGCAAAAGATAATACATACTTGTAGACACTAAGATCAAGGAGGTCAAGTGGAATGCCAAGATCAGGCTCCACATAAAGCTTTGGTTTATGCATTTTCTCCAGTGACGTGATAGTATACCGAGTAAATCTGCAAACAAAGACAGGAGCTTTACGTCACATCAAGTAATCATCTGTCACATCTAATCAAAGACAAATGAAAATTCTTGCGCATTAAATCAAGAGGACTTTGTTCAAACTTGAAATAACTACCAATTGTTCAATTAAGTTCTTAACAGTGGGATAGAAAACTAGTTTCAACCATGATGCTTTATATTAATATTAGTCTATATACTGCGCATAGGAACCATCAACCCAACACATCACAATTCACAAGCCCCAACTAACAACTGCTCAAAATTTGAAGTAGTAGAGTAATAAGCAAGGTAAACATGCAGCAGAACAGAATACCCATATCAGGTACAAGGGCACAACCACATACCTGTCCTTATCTCTTTTTAAAGACATAAGCTTTGGCTGGGCAGATGGATCAGGCAGTTCATTCCGGAACCTATCATAGATAATTTGTCAGTGTATGCATAGTAGCAGAAAAAACAATATAGAAATCTTCCTACAGCTTCATGAAAGCTGCAGAGAAAGTACAGGCACCATATACATGTGGAAAAGAACAAGCAGAATTACAAAGTAGCCCATAAGGCAACTTTCAGACCAATGTATTAAAAATATAACAACATGAATGACCAGAAAACTACTTACTTCATCCTGCACATGAATGCTGTCTGTCTCTTCATCGGGTTTTCATCCCTGTCACCTCCTAGAACTGGAGCACTCCTTTTCTCACCAATCCTAGACCCTGAAATCGACATATTACCAGGTTTCACTACAGAAGGCAAAGTCTGGGGTGGCTTTTGCCGATGTTGCGCCTCTTTCAAGTGCTGCTTATGTCTCTCTTCTTGTTTTTGCTTCTCCATTTCCCGCTTCTTCCTCAACCTCCTTTCTTCCTCCGTCTCAACCCTTCCAGAAGTTCCATTAGCTTTTTTCACAAGACCGGGAGGTACTGGAGGCTTGTGCTGCCTAGAAGATACGTGGTGATTCCCCTCTTTTGAAGACCTTTTATCTCTCTCATGCCTCCCTCTCTCTCCCCCACTCTCTTTATTTTGAGGTGGTGGAGGGGGAGATGATGGAGGGGGTGGTGGTGGAGGAACAGATGAACTAGGAGGCGGGGAAGACGGTGGAGGAGGAGGTGGAGGGGGCGGTTGCAATGGCTGTAAAGGAGGCTGCTGTTGACTAAATTGAGAGTATTGTGATGTAGGGTAATACTGTTGATGTACATTGCCCGAGTTTTGACCACTGGAAGGAGGGGGAGGTGGTGGAGGAGCATACGACGAATCAGGTGGAGGTGGAGGTGGCGGTGGCTGAAAAGGGTATTGCTGTGGTTGCTGCTGGGGTGGTGGTGGTGGGGGTGGTTGATATTGCTGACTACCTGAATTATACCCTGAATGCTGGAAATTTTGATTGGCAGTCACTTGTGTATAGTTTTGAGGGTAAGGCGGAGGCGCCGAACCCCAATTCTGAGTATACTGAGATTGGGGCCGTGATGGCGGTGGTGGAAGCGGGTTTTGTGTAGGGGGTGGAGGTGCAAATGATGGTTGTTGTGGCGGAGCCGGGGCAGCCGCCCTCGGTCCAGGGACAAAAATTCCTTTTTCATAGTTTCGTCCTAACATTAAAGGGTTATATTTACAAAATCCTGCAACACATTAACAGCCAAATTTGACTCAATCATCAAATCAAAGTTCAAACTTCAAAGTTAAATTCTTTTCGCTTAATTATATGCATATCAAAATTCAAACAACAAAATCGCTACTTAATCTTTCAGTAACAGAATTAACACCTAATAGTTCAATAATCAAATCACCCAAGAAGAACCCTAAATTGAGTATACTGACAATCAAATTAACGATTAACATTAGATTGTGAAATTGACATTCGATTATTACAAAGAAAGAACATCTTACCTCAGAAGCTGCTTCAATGGAGGAGAAAAAGCTCAGAAGCCGCTTCAACAAAGAATTCAGATTACGCTTCAATGGAGGAGAGAGAGAAGAGGGTGAAGCTCGTAAAAATGCTCCAATTGAGGGAAGGTTTATTTGTCTTTTTAATTCACTTGATTAATATATATAATTATCTATTAAGATGTGTAATTATTTTAATTTCCTGTTTTGATTCACTTTGTTTAAAGATTATTGTTACTTTCTAATTTACTTTCCTATTTTTGAGTCCTATTCTCACCTATATGGGAT